ATCTATAGGGGCATTACAACATTTAAAGTTTTATCATACTTTCAAAACTTATCCATGTGCATTCTCTAAATCCAGATCATGAAAGTATTTAGGTCATTTTGATACTTACGGGTACTCTCGTCATTTCAGAATTCAAGGGTATTAGTTTCATTCCATTCAACCATGTGCATTACTTTCAGTGAATTAATATTTTGGTGTAAACTCAAGAAATCAGAAATTATATGACTTGTGCTTTTTCTAAGATTAGGAACTAATTATTAGAGATTTTTTTTAATAGACCAGGAATTAACAGGTGCATCAATAATTTTATTGGGTCAAAATACAGATTCTCAGGGTAATTCTACTATCAGGGTCAATACATATCATTCTTACACCTTAAGGGTATTTTTGTATTTCTTATCAGTCTTCTAAATTCTTACGTGAGTCATCTGAGTCTTATACAGTTTACTAACTTCTTATCATAATCATATTGGGTTTACCTTGATTAACGGTATCCATAAGATCAATCAAATTCATTCATGCATTTACCAACTACCAATGTGTACCATAAAACATACAAAAGGTAGTAGAGTATTACCTTGATTTCTAATCTATATCGATCATTTAAACTCCATTTGATCGCCCTAGAGCTTGAATTCAATGTCCCATAAAGTTTCCGATACATAACAAAACAAATTAAGTCAGTAACGAAACTTCATCGAGTGAAACGGATCGAAACTAAAAATTAAACCCTGAAAATTAGCTTACCAAGTTTGAATTTGGGGAAATGAACTTTATATTCGAACTCAAAACGTTGAAAAACATAAAATATGATTTTTCAGAAAATTTTGACTTTTTGATCTAAACCAACCGTTAACGTGATCAAATGTCAAAGTCAACTCTGGTCAAGTCAACGATCATATCAAAAGTCAAAAGTTTAGTCGAGTCAATGGTCTAAGAAAGTCAACAAGTCAATTCAGTCAGACCGACCGGTTTGGGCAGACCCGTAGCAGAACAGTTTGGGTCAGTTCGGTTTGACCAGATTATTTATAAAAAAATTAGTACTGCAGATAAAGTCCCATGCGCATGGGCGGCGCGTGTGGCGGCGATGGGGTTGGTTGAAGGCAGTCGATTGACCAGAAAACAACCATTCATCAGTAACAATCCAAATTCACTTGAAACTTCAACCAAAATAACGTAAACTGATCGAAAAATGTGTTTGAAGAGCTTACGCACGTCGGATGATGAAAATGACAACAGTGAAGTGACCCACCAGTTGGGTTATGATCGTAAGGTGTCGGGGAGTCTAAAGGTGGAGGCGGTGACATGAATGGACACATGTGGTGGCCCGAATCAAAGAAAATCAAGGGTGATAGTTTGGTTCTTCGGTGAGGCTTTGAGAAGTCATTCACGACGGATGAAAACGAGCCTCTTCAATCGGCCACCAAGGTTTTGCTCGCGAGGTGTCAGTGAGCACACCAGTGTAGGCGGTACACGACACTGTCGGGCGATCAGAGTTGAGGAGTACGAACGGTCTTTCTAACGGTTTTAACGAATGATAGACGATGACGATGATCGGACGGTTGGGGTTTACTTGCGACGGATCTTCGGAGCTGTCCATGGCGATGGAGTACACCACCATTGGCCATAGGTGGGGTGAACCGTGGGGCAACGGCTTTGGTAGATAAAAGTCGCATGTTTTCTTGTAAATTGATTTTCACGGGGACAGTTGAAAGAAAAGGTTGGACTGAGTAAACTAGTCTCTTTAATTAATATTTCTCCATAATTAATCGAGAAGAGTAACCTAGTCTGGTTGGTTGAGATTTAGGATGATGGTTTTGGAAAATGTGGGTTCAAACCTCACCAAACCCACACATTTTTTTTAATTTTAATTCTAATAGTCAAATAGTGGTGGGACAATTATGGTTTGAGTCCCTCAAATAAGCTAATTAAAATTACTGATATTAATCAAAAAATTCAGGATGTGATAAAATACGTAGTTTATCCAAAAAATATAACGTTAACTATGATTTTAGGGGGATTAATTGGATGACAAAAAAACATGAGATAAATAATACTCAAAAATTTATATTATAAAATGTTTAATCAATTATATTTTAAATAATTTTACATTCCGTGAACTGAACGTTAATCGAAATTCATAACTTCAGTTTGTTTATGATCGACTTCCTTGAGCCAGACTCACTCGCAATGCCCTTCCTTCCGGTCCCTAGCACTTCAATAAACAAAAATGAGTGATTTATTTCTTCATACAAGAACTTAATTTTCCTAGTTTCAAACTAAGAGGGGCTAAAAAAGCAATTGGACCATTAGGCTTAGGGTTAATTAATATTTAATTTACGAGGTTCCAAAACTAAGAGTTCCTGAAAAGCAATTAAATCCAGATAAATAATTGGGAGAGGCTTAATTTGTCTAATTCAAAACTAAGAGAGGCTAAAAACAATTAAACCTAAAATGGCACACATGAATGTCAAGAAAGTATACGTTGAAGAAGGATGGTGTTATATAATGTCTGCAATTAGACCCAAAATTTTTGGTTTCATAACATTTAGGTCCCTATCAAATTTTGGCTTCTTTATACAAATTTGATATAATATTTATATATAAATTTCTTCTTATTTATAGATATTATCATAAATCGAATCAACTTAAGTTTTGACTCACTCGAAAATAAGATAGATTGCTCTTCATCTAGATTTTAAAAAGTTCCGTTCGAATCGAAATCTAATCCGACATATATATATATATATATATATATATATATAATTCTTTTTCACTAGATAAAATAAGATCTTAATTTAAAAATATATATAGATAAACAGATATTATAGTAATTATCTTTAAATATATAAAGATTAAGGATAAATTACATGTTTAGCACATGAACTATCAATTTTGATTCATTTAGTACCTTAATTTTTAATTTTTTAAAATCATACCTAAAATTTAGTTTTTGTTTCATTTTAGTATCTCTGTTCAAAATTTAACATTAAGTTTTGAAAAAAATTAAAAGTTTAGGTAATAAAAACTAGACATTGAATGTTTAGATATGTACTATTAGTATCTAAACATTGAATATTTAGATACTAAAATGAAACAAAAACTAATCGTTAGGTATGGTTTTGAACAAATTGAAAGTTTATGTACTAAAAACAAACCAAAACTAATAGTTTATGTATTAAATGTGTAATCTACCCAAAGATTAATTATACTATTATTCTCCGACCAGGTTGGGTCGGCTGCCATAATCTTGTATAATCGCTGCAAGTTGAGCACTGTCAACATTGCAAGGCAAGTTCCCGAAGTAAAGCTTAGTGTTCACAACACTCTCAACTTCAACTTCACCTTCTCCTTTCTCCTCCGCCGAACTTTCTTCCACCGGCGCGGTTTCTTCCGCCGTCTCCTGTTGAGCAACAGCCGCGGGCACCTCAAGCGTCTGTTATCGTAGGCAATTTCTTTTTCGTAGTTTTTCGTATATTCAGAGGATCATATCGAATTCGAATATGTGCTATGGTTTAACGCAATGTAGTTGATATGCAGGTTCAGAGAAAAGCAAGACAAAGTCCGAAGAGGAGCAGGCTAGACCAAATATTAGAGTGAGTTCAACCCCACGTCCCCGGGCCGTCATTTCTGGTCCCGGTAATTATCTCGTGTTATTCGAATTCGATTTAAAGCTTTCTCGTATAAGCAGAGGGTTCGTGAACGATCATATCTATATTCGAACATTCGTCAAACACGAATAATTAGGTGCACGAAAAAAGGGTCTAGAGCTCATTGATGTTTATGCATTTTTCTTCTATGTTTAGACAACGATGCGGTGATAGGATATAAAAACAAGATCGAAGGGAGACAACGGAGAGTTTCGAAGGATCATGGCACGGTTCAGAACCGACACACGACCCGAACACACGTCTTTACCGGACCGGGAAGAACGACCAAGTCCAAGAATGATGACGCCGTGATGTCGAAATCAGAGGGAAGAAAGGATCGGGACCGACTGTTTCAACTCGGAGAAGAAGAAAAAACTTTTAACTGAAAGACCAAGCTGGCAAGATCCCTAGAAGTGCAGCTGAGTTAGTATTTTCGACTCGTACTTGAACTCGAATTTAAATATTAAATACGAGTATATATCTAATACGGATTTAATTTTTTAAAAAAAACTTTGAAATAGGGTAAGGGGAGGTATGATAATAGATTGCTCCCAACGTCAGGCTGAGAGCAGCTTCCGTGAAGGATCTCTGTTATAAATTACCTTCAGTGAGACTCGATCCTATAATCATAAGATCAAAATTATTGCGCTCTACCAACTCAACTAGACAGACACTCATGTACTATGCTTATAGGTAAATCATTGTAATTGGTAGGTTTGATTGAACTATTGTTAATTTTCATAGAAAGGAACGAGGATTATAGTATTTATGCACAATTAATTTCATCATGTTACGTCAATTTAAATATTTATTAAAGGGTTGATTCCTTAAAGATTTCAGGTTCGAGTACCGATAAATGTAAGATATTTGAGTGTTTATTGTTAAATAGATGTAGTCTTTAAAACATATATTTGAGTGTCTATATATTGTTAACTATAGAGTAGTGTTTTATTAAATCTCAACACTATTAAAAGTTATAAAACGATCACTCGATTTCGTTGACTATTCATTATATTTTAAACTCGTCATTTTTTTTGTACTTTACCCTATAGTCAGGGATCATTGTGTATTTTACCCATATACATATAATAAAAGGGTAAACTATTAGTTTTTATCCGTTTTAGTACTTAAACTTTTAATTTTTTTTAAAAACATACTTAAATTTTAGTTTTTATTTTATTTTAATAATCATCGTTAAAAACTCAACAAGAAAAAAACTAAAAAAGTTAATATTAAAACGGATCAAGACTAATAATTTAATAACTAGACGCGTAATTTACCTCACAAGAAATACACAAATAGAAGGATACAAATTCAATTTAGTCCCAAAAAAATGCTTAGCGATCATCATCAATGCCGCAACTTCGCTCTTTGTTGTTTTTCTCCATTCCAAATTTCCCTTAGCTTCGTCACCGACAATTTTCCTTTGTCATCTTCCTCGTCTATGTTCAAACCCTGAAAATTTTAAATTTTTAACCTTCAATTCTACACAAAAAACTCCATTTATGGGTTAGAATCTGAATATATATGTATATCCCAGAAAAGGATATTTGGGGTGAAAATGCACACGCTGAAGGATAAAAGTTTGCGGGAAATCTTTCACGTTTATTTGCAGATTCACCGTCTTCTCCACCAGATCTTTCTCAGGTAATTCATGTATTTTCTCTAATATATTTGTAGTTAACAATCTGGAAATGTAGCTAGTTTTTTATTTATTGATTTTTCGTGGGTTTCTTCTTTCAAACTGGGCAGTGATATATACATTTTTTTTGTTTTATTTGGGATATTTGAAAGATAACTGAAATTTGCTGGCTTTGTTTTATGTTTTTTCTTTAAATTTGATTCATAATCATAACGAATAATTCTGTTTCTGATAGCTTAGATAATAAAAATGTATGTAATTTTTCTCTATACTGATTTCATAGGATGAATGTGAAACTAAATCTGCTTGTTTTCAATTGTGTATCTCAATCATCCATTTACATTCATCAAATGATCATAAACTAGAGTTTTACTCAATGTAGGATATATATGGTTTTGGGGTTTTTTGTATGAAAGAAACAATACCTTGATTGTCTTAAGCTTTGAAAGTTATGAATTTTAGTTGAATGATTTCATGAGTTGAAATTTTTGGATGTGTAGGCCAAATGGTACACCAAAGGGTCAAAATCTTTGTCTTCAATTGTTTCTTACATCATCCCTTCACTAAGCTGTGTAGAGTCTAAATTGAACTATGATGGAACTAATCTAAAGCCGGTTCAGTCGCATCCCGTTGGATGGAAAAATTACAGATTCGAGAAGCTTCATGAAGTTCCGAATAGCGGTAACGAATACACCACTACTTGTGCGACCGAAGAATCAAGAAAAGCTTATGAAGATAAGAAGAAAATTCGGATTCATGATGACGATAAGCTAATGGTTGTTAAGCTTAGTAAGGTTCACTTTTCTGCAAACGGCAGTACTGATTCTGAAGAATTTCAGGTAGCAAGAGAAGAACAGAGTCCAGTGAAGGCTGCACCAAAACTTTCTGATGAATATGTATTCATTAATTATGATTTGTACGAGTTCTTAATGTGTTCCCTTCCCAATATCGTTAAAGGCTGTCGATGGATGTTGTTGTATAGGTAAGCTTTGCAGTTTGCTTTCAGTTTTTAATCTCGATTCGGTATTAACTCTTTCAAATGAAGGGCAGTACGTTGAAGCACGGTATATCACTTTGAACACTAGTTCGTAAGAGTGCTGAGCTTCCTGGCCCTTGTTTGCTGGTAAGTTTATGTTGTATGTTAAAGAATGCAATTGTCATTAGGATCGGTCTACAAATCTATCTGAATCTTACAACTATTGATTAGTTTTTAATACTTGGAATTGTTTGCATCATGTTGTTTAAATAATAGATTATTGGAGATAAGCAAGGAGCCGTCTTTGGTGCGATGTTAGAATGCCCTCTGAAAACTACACCGAAGAGAAAATATCAAGTACGCGACCGGCTTGTTTAAGCTTTGAACTTGTTTTGTTTACATGATGACACGATTTCACTTTTGGATTTGTCGCATGTTTGCACTATGCTTTCCCATGCCCTTTCTTTCCTTAGTTTTACCATTTTTAGCTTTATTTCTCTTTGTTTTTATGATAGAGAATTTAACCAGACGTTTGTATTCACAACCAAATATGGTGAACCAAGGTTATTTAGACCCACCGGTCTGCAATTTTGTTGAATTAGTTAGTTTACTTTATTTCTTAGATTATTTAGACAAAGTTTAATGCCTACACATAATAGTGAGGTACATAAAGAGAAGGATATCGATATGTCTAACACGAACGTGTTCGATTTTCTTGAAGTTTTTTCATGCATCTCTGGTCATATTTGTATCAACATATATTTATTGCATGCATGCTGATGGAAGATGTGATTTCATTCTCTGTTCTTTTGACCCAATTCACTTTTCTTGCATTATGAGTTCTGATCTTGTATCATTTATATCTAAACAGGTGCAAATCGTTATTATTTTATATGTATGAATGACATGTTGGCAGTCGGAGGCGGTGGCAGCTTTGCTTTGAGCTTCGACGGAGATCTGTAAGTTGCTCATTTGACGATTTCTCTTTCTAGTCTACCAAAATAGTTCCCTTCATTGAGATTTTATTCTCTTTACAATAGTTTAAGTGGAACAAGCGGACCTTGTGAAACGTTTGGGAACTTATGTTTGGCTCATGACGAAGAGTTTGAACTGAAGAACATCGAGGTACATATGTTCGGACGTGTTCAGTAAGTTCGAGTAGACATCGATTGTATCTTTTATTCGAAGTTGACATTCTCTATTCGTTAATCCGTACCATCTTCGTATAAAACTAGATATTGGTGTAAGATTTATGAAAGTAGGATTCAAATCTGGAAGAATTGTCTTTTCAATGCTTCAAACGCTTTTAGATGATACAGTAGCACATCAATAGAGGAATGAACAAAACCGGTATGGATTCATGCCCTAGACTCGAAAGTATCTTTGACGACGCATAAAACTATGATTTAATCGTTACTCAACATACGGCTAAAAACAGAGAACAGTCTGATTAGAAAATTGCAGGAGTTTTCTGAGATAAACTTATCATCACATGGATGATAAGCAGAAGGGGGTCTTTCTTTTTTTATGATTCTGTTGAAGCATCGTCATCGGGAAGTCCGAATATCCGGAGGTTGCGATCCATTGAACCGACTGCCAAGTACCTTGCATCTGGTCCAAATTTGACACAAGTTGCTCTACCTGCAGATAAGAGAATATGGCACTTTGGATCCAGCCGGATATCGAAATAAAAATCTACTTAGGGGAACAGGAAGAGAACATGAACCTGTGCCAGACAAATCGGGTAAAGTTTTGATACAATTCCATTCCGCTTTCACGCTGCCTACTTGGAAAACTCTGGGAGTCAAAAATTAAATGAGCAGCAACCAAGTATCATATGGAAAAGGAAATTTTCATATAATGTTCTGGAGATTATGCGCTTGTGTGTGACCATAAGAAAGGGATTACATTAGTTTTAGTTCAGGGAATTATCCTATGCCAAGACCGAATATGAGACGTCAAGAGCACCTACCGTATATCTGAGCCTGCAATTGCAAGGTAACTCCCACTATGGTCGAAATCCACTGAAAGGAGAAAGAACAGAATTAAAACAGCTGATGAACATAGCTCTATATGGTAAACAGCTCTGATCACAAGAAATGAAATATTTCTTATTGTTTTGATTCCTAGCTCTAACTAAAAAAACGAGAATGTTTCCGGAACTAGTTTACATTGACAAAACAACGCATATTGCTTGCTCCTGAAAAGAGTTGATACGAGACAAGCTAATATAGAAGTATGCCTATTGTCAAGATATTACATACCAGAGTTAGTTGGTGTGTCTTGATCGTATAATTCAAAAGAACGGAAATTCTTCAATTTGCGCAGATCCCACAACTTAACACCATCATGAGCAGCAGTCTGTAGTTAAAATTTCTTAAATCAGATCATTGAATTCATGACCACCAACCTAATGTGAAATTTTGGTAAAGTACTTACTGCAAGGAAGTAACCATTTTCCGAGAATGATATGGCTGTCACTGCTCCGGTGTGTCCATCGAAGTTGGCAACATTTCCCTGCAGGATAATTGAATATATGGTGGTTTTAAGAAATGGAAAACTAAAAAATATCTAGAAACAAAAGTTTCGCTCTAAAAAATTTGATTCTAAATACCCGGCTCTTCACATCCCAAATTCTAACAGTAGCTCCAGCGGTGCCTGTTCCAAGGATGAGACCATCAGGATGAAAAGCAGCAGATGTATAGCCCGCAGAATTTGAAGGGTCTTCAACCTGCAGAAAAAGAAATCTAACTCGTTTCCTCCGAAATGTAAATGCAATAGAAATTTGGTTCAAAGAAGAAAGAATATCATTTCACAATGGCCTCTACCAGTAGAGAAATGGTGCCTACAATACATACTTTAAAATTTGAAAAAAAATGCTACAAAACAGTTAAACTCTGATTATATTTATTGCCAGAAGTCAGAACCCAGAACTCAGGATCAATTAAAGACGATCAAGTACTAATATAAGCTACTGTTAACTAATAAGTGACCGCAACGATGCACACGAATTGTAAAGAAAAGGGAGAGAGAAAGATGGATTAGAACCTGTGTCAAGCATAAGCCAGAGGCAAGATCATAAAAGCACCATGTTGCATCAAGTGAAGCAGTTACAAAATATTTGTTCGTGGCATGGACGGTGACAGCTTGCACCTGAAAGAGTAGAAGGTACATTTAAGTGTTTACAAGATCCAAAAAATGAAACAGAACCAGAACTTGATAATTGCAACAGTCAGTACCTCTGCTGTATGATCTTTCAAAATATGCCGACAATCATAGTTTCCATCTTCAGAACCTTGCCAAATGCGAACAGTCTGCAACATTCAAAAATCAATCCTACTGAGGCAAGCTAAATCATAAATATGTGAGCGTGCAGTATGGTTACAGTTGACTGATTAAAATGTGAATATTAGATCCCTTTTAAAAGCAACTCTTATAGGGCATAAATTTAAATTTAAAATCAGGACCATGAAAAAGGAACAAAACTGGAACTTGAGAAGAAAAATATTGGCTTACCTTATCTGCTGAACCACTTAAAAAAACATCATTCTGAGCTACAAATTTTACACTTGTAACCTACCAAAGAAGAAGGGAACCAAACAGTAAATTTCAGAAGCAAAAGGTAGACAACAGCTTCCCTTTTGAATATAGAAGAGGAAACTGAATAAACCTTCTTAGAGTGACCACTAAGTGTTGATAAGATCTCTCCAGATGTTCGACCAAAGAGTACGGCATTTGAATCAATCCCACCTGTGGCAACAATGTCCTGATAACCACAAGTAAAAGCAAATAAATTGACAAGCTTTGAAGCCAAGTGAAAACAAAATAATTGCATTCAACAGACTGAAACGTGGACAGGCTTTTGGTTCCACAGGCTGGATCCACATGGGCTTAGAATAGAAAGCAAAGATTTGAAACTACTAATTGTAGCATCAAATGTTGCACAAAAAAAAACGAACTAAGCCATCACCTTAGCAATAATTATTACATAATTTCAAATTTTAAGATCCAAATCTTGTTTCTAACAGATCTATTTCTTGTTTCCTTAATTTTGGCTGCTATGTAGCAAGTCCACATGCAAAATCCTAATCAAAATCGCCTCCTGTATTGACAAGTTCATGCAAAACTATAATTTCTTTAAAGGGGTAACTAAAAGGAGCACCAAACCTTTGAAAGATTGATGTCAATTGAAAGGATGCCTGGTCTGTTTGTCTTGTGAAGGGGATGACTAGAAAGCTGGGTATACCTCTCCAAAGCATCAATGGGAGCCAGTGTTGGAGGTATCTGAAAAGGACACACATGCGAAGATTGGAAGTAGGGGCCAAGAAGACAATACAAAGATGTTATCTACAAAGAAGCAGTTGGTATTAATAAAGATATACAAGTACCTGGCGCTTTTTACGCTGCTGTGACAGAGCAGCATTACACTCGGTTAACTCAGCGATAATACTATCAGAAACCCCAGGACGCATTCTCTTCGCATCAGTGCCCATATCTTCTTCCTCTGAAGCTATGATTACGAAAACAAATCTCAAATAAAATGCATAATTAATTAAAGACAAATAAACATTAATGAAAAGCATACTGAGAAAGAACCTCTCTTTCCATTGCTCACAGCAGGAACAGCCGAAGCAGGCAAAGGCGCCTGCCTCTCAGCCTGTGCAAGGAATGACCTAGCTTCATCCCTTTCCTTCTTAAGTCTTGCAATAACACGGCAGGCAGCATCATGCTGTAAATAAAGGATAATATAATGAATTGCTTATATTTCGAATAAAAGTAAAGAATCGGAAAGATAGAACACCAAAAGCTAATGGGTTAGTTAAAACTCAATATCCTTTTATTATCAGATTTCATAATCACATGGATCTTTAGAAGAGATTTTTTGAGTTCGTTCACTTTATGTTAGAAGGTAAACATTTTAAAACAAAGCATCCCCAATTAGAAAAAAAAATGCAACAAAGTTTTTACATAAAACAAGAAAAATTCAGAACTCAAAAGAAAAGCCCTTACACAACCATCATGCTAAATTACTCAGCTTCGTTGTGAATGGTAAAAGGAATATAATCACTTGTAAGAAAGTAAATAGATTTTGACAAAACAAGCTCACACCAGATTATCAAGAAGAGTTTTTGCTTCAACCTAGACAAAAGGAAACTAACATATAAAATGCTATGTTCATTCTGGTGCAGTGATATGGCACAACATACAAAAGCCAACAAGTAAAAACAAAAATGCATTACATAACTGTCAAAAAGAAAATTAAACGATATCCCAATTATTGTTACCTGGTAGAGTGCATGACTTAGCTCTTGCCTAGCTGTATGTAGCTGTTGCTCCAATGCAAAATTAGATAGCATAAGAGCATCCCATTCCTGCAATGACGGAAGCAATGTAACATTAGATACAAAATACTGAAGAGAATTCGACGTAAACATAGTAAAAACTACTCCATAAAAAGATAAAATGAATTGCAAAGAGACAGTCATTGCTAGATATATAAAAGTAAATAGTAAGACTCCAATGGTAAAATACATCGGGGACTATTACAAATTACACATGAAAAGTGAACTCTACCTCCCCACCACAGACTCACAGATAAAAAACAGGAAGTGATGACATTCAAATTTTAAGCATGCAATTATTTGAACTAATTAAGATTTTAGACATTTAGAAAGCAGCACAAGAATGGTAGGTACTACATATCAGAACATACATTCTGAAACATTCCAAGCATCCCTGGAATGCTAGCAGCTGTTAACGATCTGGGCTTCACAATCTGCACCAAACAAAAATAAAAAACTAACAGATCAGCTCACAAAGAAGCAAAGAAAACAAGAAATGAAACCACAAGTAGTAGAATCACCTTGCCGGTTTTGACTGGTACGATGTCCTCCATAGTAAGTGGCTCCCCTGTAACCGGACACTTGCCATAATCCTAATAAAAACAGAAAAACAAGCATTCTATCAAAACGCAGCTAATTCCGTCAAAATTACTTTAAAATCTTTTTTAAAAAATGAAATTTCAGATTTCCAGTTTCATAACTATCCTTCTTTTTGCTATAAAATAAATTTG